AAGCCGTCATTGCACAGCCTGCAAAGGAAAATTGGTAAATTTTATTAACCCAGCAAAATCAACATTGTACAAACTGAGAATTGTATTTTCATTATCAAACTATTTTCCTATTCCATCTTCATCAGTAACTTTAGTATCACTGAAATATTTAAGGTGGGAGAACATTGATGATTCCTCTTTACAATGAGGCTCTTACAGACTTCAGGTTCATTAAAAAATGTGCACATAACAGAAAGGAAATGGTAGTTATAGCCCCTGTAGTGAAGAGGGTGTGCCAGTCAGTAGTCCTTACCACTCAAAATGTCACCCAGAGTGCCAATAGCCATATCTACCCATTATAACCAAAAGAGCTGGCTCGAGATTGCACTGTTAACATCAAAACTCAAGGCATCCAGCCCAGCCCTCAACATCCCTCTCCAATCAGAAGTCAAGTGTTTACCTGTTCTCCTCTCCCTCCAGCAGCTTCCTGTACATGGCAATCTCAACGTCCAGCGCAATCTTGATGTTCAGCAGCTCCTGGTACTCCTTCAACAAGCGAGCCAGCTCCTCCTTGTCTTTGCTCAGGGCACTTTCCAGCTCTTCCAGTTTCAACCTGGCATCCTTAAGGGCCATCTCTCCCCGCTCCTCAGCCTCAGCAATAGCTGCCTGCAGCTGCTGGTTCTGAGGAAGAAGAAAGGGCAGTTTCTCAGATCTCGTTTTGTCACTTAGAATGAACCCTCTAACACCAAGTGGAGGAGTCAAGGGGAAAAAAAGGTAACATTTACATGAAGTAAACAAGGGGTGGTTGAAGAAACCATTTCTGCCCCACACATGGTCTTTTGTGATCCAACCTGATGCCAGTATCTCACGAGACACTAACCAACCCCTACCTGCTTCTTCACGTTCTCAATCTCAGCCCGTAGCCTTTGGATGTTCCTGGTCAGCTCTTGGATCTCTATCTTGGTATTGCGGAGGCTGTCCCCGTGCCTTCCAGCAGTGCTCTGCAGCTGTTCGTACTGAAGGCACCAAGACAAAGCAAACTCTCAGTGAAACATTCCTGATGCCCAGACAAGATTCGTCAACAGTTTCATAGCTCACGTGCTGCTACAAGCACATATCACGTTGGTCAAGGATGCCAAGCTCAATGTAAAAGGTGCTTCTGAAACTCAAACATTATTGGTTTTGAACTTTGAAATAGATCTTAGTCACACCAATAAGCATCCCTTGGCTTCTTAAAAGCTACTTTGGGCAGACATTTTCTAGATAAGGTACATTCTTGGCCTTCTTTATTGAGAGGCTGGTACTGTGCACCAAAGTGAGATTCTGGACACCTTGAACACAGTGAGTCAGGTCCCTCAAAAGCAACACAATTCCTCTTGAGGCTTCCTTGCGTGAGTTCCAGCACCGTTAGCTTAAAGAGATGTCTCACTTTGTCATAAATTGTCTACAAACTCTAGCCATCACTCAGGGTTCTTCGACTGCTTCCCAACTCACCTGGCTCTGGTACCAAGCCTCAGCTTCAGCTCTGCTGCTCTGGGCAATCTGCTCGTACTGACGCCTGACCTCCTCGATGATGCTGTCCAGATCCAGGTGCCGGTTGTTGTCCATAGACACCACCACGGACAGGTCCCGGCTGATGGTCTGCATCTGAGACAGCTCCTACAACCAAGACATGAGTTATCCTGGCCATCTGAGGAGGGGAGAAGAGCAGCAACTCCAAGCAGCCCCTCCAGACCAAATCCAGGTCTAGATGGGGGCATCCAGTTCAACTTCGGAGTCTTTGGCCTCCATACACCTCATTGCAACTCAAACCAGCCCAGGGGAAGGGAGAGCTCTTACCTCCTCGTAGATGCACCTCAGGAAGTTGATTTCATCGGTCAGAGCTCCCACCCTGGCTTCCAACTCTACTTTAGTCATGTAGGCACTGTCCACATCCTAAAGGAAAGATCACACAGAATAGCTTTATTTCCTCTTGGAAATCCTTCAGGACCATGGAAATTACAGTCTGTGCTGAGGGTAACAGCTGCTGATGGTGTTATTCAGTTATGCAAATTAAACGCAAAGGGCTTCACGTATCAGCCCACAGATCCTACAATCTCTGCAGATTCCCATTCAAAACAGAGTCCCCTGGAAGCACAGACGGAGTCTGATATTCAAACAAACGTTCCGTAGTGCATGTGACTCACCTTCTTAAGCACCACAAACTCGTTCTCGGCAGTTGTGCGCCTGTTGATCTCTTCCTCATACCTATGGAGAGTAAAAATACAAGCTGAGTTTCCTGAATTTTCCTGCCTAAGGCCACACTAAACAAACTAAAAGAAAAAAATACAGAATTAAATATTTAGACTGAAAAAACTACATCCACAAGTACTATAAAAAGCGTATGTGTGAAGAACCTACTTGAGTTGCTTCCTGGGTTGAACTATCACTGCACTTACTTGGTTTTGTAATCCTCAACATATTGCTGCATGTTCTGCAGCTCCGACTCCAGCTGTCCCCTCTGTGCCAAGACTGATTCCAGCTGCCTCCTCAGGTTCTGGATGTAATTTTCAAAGATGGCATCGAGGTTCTTCCTCGGCGCCGAAGGCCCTTGCTGTTGGAGGAGCTCCCACTTGGTGGAGAGGACCTTGTTCTGTTGCTCCAGGAAGCGGACCTGAAAGCCAACACATGGGGTATCCACCATCACATGGGGAACAGCAGCAGCCAAGGCACCCCTTTCCTCACATAAAAAGCATGTTGGTTCTTTTTTACATGATGATGTGAGAACTAGTTAATATTTTGTTACAAATTTCTCTTGTGGCCTTAACTGCAATGTCGGGAAAAGGAGGAAATGCCAAAGTCATCTTCAAGTCAAAGGAGTTTTTAAATGTAGCACCAGCTCCAAGTGCATTCCCATTGCAGGTAACGTGGAAATCTTAGATTTCCAGTGTAGATTTGAAAGCTTGGATATTTGAAAACAAAGAGAAAAAAAAAAAAATATTAATGAATACTTAAATGGGAAGTATTTGGAAAGAGAATGGTACAGAAAGGAAAATTTGTGCCTGAAACAAGCAGATGTTTGGAGGCGTTGAGCCTGCTTGCAAGAATAACCTATTAGTTGAGCCTGGTGCAACAGGCTGGATTAAAGCCCTGAAGACATAGCTTTGATCTCGCATGGAGGAGAGATTCTCATCTCTTCCCTAGCAGTACTTAATAAAAAGACTCTGATCAAGCTTCTCAGCCTGATGATGTTTTACTCAAGAAGGACAACATTTCTGCAGAACTTGAAAGTTCCTCCCAGTTTTGACCCTTAGACACAATCCCACCCTCTCACCTTATCAATGAAAGAGGCAAATTGATTGTTAAGAGTCTTGATCTGTTCCTTCTCCTGGTTTTTGACTTGCTGGATCTGGGGATCAATCTCAACATGGACTGGCTGTAGGAGGGTTGAGTCAACCTGCACTGGCTGGATTCCAGGGCCACCTCTACCAGGGCCACCAAAGCCTGGCATGCCAAAGCCTGGTCCACCAAAGCCACCCGCTCCTCCACCACCCATTCCTCCACCATAACCACCCATTCCTCCACCAAAGCCACCCATTCCTCCACCACCACCCATTCCTCCAAAGCCACCCATTCCTCCTCCACCCATTCCTCCACCAAAGCTGCCTAGTCCTGCTCCGTAGCCTCCACCAAAGCCACCTATTCTGCCTCCATATCCTCCACCTCCGTAACATCCACCCATGGAAATCCTTCCACTGCCACCCAAGTTATGGAGGCTCCTGCTGCTATACCCTCCACAACGTCCACCACCTCCAAATCCCCTGGACATAGAGAACGAGCTGTAGCTGCTCCTGCTTCTGCTGCCACCTCCTCCAAAGCCTCCACCGATGGCAGAGCAAGAGCTGTAGCCCCTTCTACTTCCTCCTCCAAAGCTTCTGCAGACAGACTGCCGAGACATGGCCGTTTCTTCTGAGCAGAGTCAAAAATTGAGAAGATAAGAGAGATCGATGGAGTTGTGCTGCAAGGAGATGAGTGCAAAGAGAAGGGAAGTAAGTTCCTCTGACCCAGGGCAGTAGATGCTCTCTTTTATCCGCTTCTGGAGGTGGGCTGGGTTTGCATGGGCGTGAAGGAGGAGACAGTTACTGTCTTCATCAGCGTGGTGTGGTTTACAGATTTTCATCTTCAATTTGCCAAACATCGACCCTACCCAGAAACACACCCTATAATGCGGGAGAAAATTAAAAAAGATACAACTGTGTCTACCAAGCAGAGTCTTACCCTTTTGTGGTGTAGTAATGCTCTCACTAGGATATGCGAGTCTCTTTTTTTTTTTCCCCTTTCATCCATTGTGTTTGTTTCCCTGTTTATGTTTATCTTTATTTTGATCTTTCACTCCAAACCCCCATGGCAGGCAAGTGCTGCTGTTCATGCCAAGTTGTAGCATGGCTTTCACAATTCCCAAAACACACCTATGTTACACCCTCAGTCTTCTTTTTACATGGAAAATTGCCTTTGGCTTTGAGAAGTAGTTTCTCAATCTAGAGCCAGGGCTCAGCAAATTGCATTTTGATGAGGCTCTATGTCTTTCTGATAAATAAAACCTTACCAGAAACGAGATACTGGAGCAATGGTTGGCACTGGAAATTCATTTATTGTTGGACCAAACTCTCACTGAAAGTGAGCCCTGGAGCCTTCGTGCCAAGATAGTCTCAGCACCAGTGGAGAAATGCCACAAATGTCACAGATGGGAAATCCCTTTAGGAATTTCCAAAGGCTTCGAGACCATGAGAAGAGCCAGAGAAGACATCAGGAACGCAGCTGCTATGGTGGGAAGTGTGGACAGGTGGACGGACGGCTCTGAGAACGGGCAGAGGAGGCATGCAACATCGTGCTGCACACATAATAAACCCTGTAACTGCTCAAATGCAGCTAGCCGAGCAGAGGATGCCAGAGAGCCCAGCTCGGGAGTAGAGACGCGTAGAAGTGAGAGGAACGGAGGGCACAATAACTTTCACTTGAGGAAACGCGTGTGTTTCAGCTGCCCAGCTTGCTGTAGTATTTCTATGCAAATATATTTTTGGCAGGCAAACACACTTGTAGGCAGTGTTGAGCCCTCCTTCACGAACACGGGTAGGTGTCCTTTTTCAGCTGGTTTGAAAGCAGTCGCCAGACTTTAGAAAGGCAGAAGCTTATCAGAATCCTCCGGGTTTGGTGCCGTACAAGGAGCAATGAGCTTATGAGTCAAACTCGCAGCGATGAGGCTATGACCCATCACCCATTCATCCTTTTGTCTCGCAGAAGCCTGCTTATCAAATAACAATTACTGTCTCATCTTACATTTTTTTATTGAGAAATTCCTTTCCTTATTAGTTTTCAACTTTTTAAAGCCACTTAAGAAATTTTGAAGTCCAAAAATCTTTACGACTATCGAAACATACAACTGTGCTGGCAGCTGTCTAGCAAGGTTCTCAGAAGTTCCCAGAGGACACAGGTAATTAAGGGCTTCTTGAAAATCCACACTAGCAACTCTTGATACTTTCAGATGTTTAAATGCCTCTAAAAATATCGCCCAGACACCTATTTTCAAAAGTGCCAGAGGACCCGGACCATGGCACCACGTGCAGTTCAACTGGCATTTCCAGTGAAAAAGGCAACCGTCCCCCGCTCATTCCACCTCCCTCCGCAGCACCAGCGTGGATCTGCAAGCACATGGGGAGGTGGGCCAGGGGATGGAAACAGTTAAAACAACCCATGATAACAACAAGTCGCTGTGAGACTGAAGGAGTGGGGAGGACAAGGGTTTGGGGGTTGTAGGACATGGTTTATAAACCATAAACGTGTGGGCTGAGGAGGTCCCGTACAGTTTGTTGGTCTTCATCAAGACTTTGTCTCCGAAGTGCCACAGCTGGGACAAACGCCCGCCCAGCCTGGGAGGGTTTGAAGCACAACCTCAAACACGGCTGCAGCCACCAGCAGAAGACTCGGCAGACATCTGATCTCTGATCCCATCTCGGGGTGAAGGCAAGAGCCATCTCCCAACAGCCCTTCCCGTCTGGAGGAGAGGCAAAGCACAGGCAAGACCCGGGCTGTGAACACACTCCGCTTCTGATTTATCTCTCAATTACGTTCCGCCGCCGCCTGCCACACCGCAAGGTTCAGGACGGTGCCGCGGGTTTATAGCTCTGTAGATACAATCACGTCTACACGCATGCACAGATGCACACGCCTGTAACGATGTCTTCCCTTGCCTTCCTCCGCGTTGCCAAATACGTGGTTACGTTTTCCTGGTTTTGTTTTTTTTCCTTTTTTCTGTGGGCGGGACGACATGATCAGAAAGTTTCCACGTTCCCAGCTGCGCTGGGAGGAGATGCATTAAGTCAGCTCAACGCTCGAGTCCCAAGCGCCTGTGTTTAGATAACGCGCTCGTTGAGTCACGGCCATGTCTCCAGCCAAGTTTGGGAAATCGCACCAGGATTTGGATATCAACATCATCGGCCAGTTCAAACGCAACAGGAAGATTTGGGCTGCGGGGATCTCAAACAACATTGTTGTACTGAAAGCCCTAAGGAAGGAAAATGACCTCTAAAGGTCCCTTCCAACCCAAACTGTTCCATGATTCTATGAAAATAAACAGGCAGGAATACAGGAAAAGCTGCTCAGGCCTTGAATAGTTGGAGGAAAAGGCTCATTTCAGCAGCAACACTCAGTCAACATGCATTGAACTTCTTCAGCCACAGAGAGGGAGAATTTCTGGGGAAAAGGCGAAGCAAAGCGTTTAATTCTCACACTTTCCATAAAACACTTGACGTACAAGTGTTTTCACTATGCCTTAGAAGAGACATTTAAAGCTGGGGGAAGTCATGATGAAACGAAACAAAACTTCTTTCAGGGCACATAAAGTGTTTTCACTCCTCCAACAAAAGTCAGAAATCATGTCACATCTTGGTCCAGCCCGGGAGAATTTTCCCCTGATCGCTGGTGCAGTCATAGGAAAAAAAGACAAGGGCTTTTCGGTGTCTGTTTTAACGAGAGGATTTGAACACATCTAGAAGCCTTTTGTCTCTTCATCACGCTGCTCTGATGTCAGGAGTCATTTGCTGGAGACAAGTTTACACAGAGGCAGGTAGATTGGGGTGACTCTGAGGGAAGTAGATGTCTTTTCATTCAACGCCATCTCAGGTCCCTTTACAACTCACTAGAATATTTAACCATTGCCCAAACCATCTCCTCATCCAAGTAGTTACATGCCTTTGCTGGCAGCGTTGTGACATTCCACAGTGGCTGGTACGTTTATGTCTTGAGCATTTACAAACAGGGAACGCAGCATGGAATAAATGAAATGACTCATCCGGATCGCAGAGCGACTCTGCGGTTGACCAGAGACGTGATTCAAGGTCTCCTGAGCAAGAGGTCAAACCACACTGGGAGTTTTTGGCTCTAAATTTACAGGTCATCAAAAATATTCTACTTTTGTGGAACGGTAGGGCTTGACAGGAGGTTGAGATCTTGCTCTTCCCATAATCTCTGTTACATTTTGGAGAGACCTTAAAAGCAACACATGGATCCCTGGCCAGTCCAGGCAACAGTGAAAGCTGAAGGGCTGGCTCCAAAGTCATGAATATTGAGAAATTAGTTCTGGCTTAGCTGGAGGGGCGATGATCACCCTTCCCTCATCCACATCATCCCTTATAGGATGCTCCAAAAGCACTTAGGGCTCCGCAATGTCTTTGCTGTGACAGCACCAGCTGTGGGCACCACAGCATTGGGACCACTTTGGAGGACAAGGAAGCATGAGTGGAAACCAATGGTGTGCTTGGACATAGTGGTCAGTCAGAGGGGGACTAGCTAGGCAATATCCCATGTTGGCCAACATGAGCAAGGAAAGGGCTTAGGAAGAGAAAGAGGAAGGGAACAATCTCCTAACATCAACTGAGTCCGAAAGTCCACTCTACTCTAACGGTGCCAACTGCCTCTGCCACCCAAGGAGACCCAGCAGAAGGACAGAGGAGAAGAACACCCAGGTTCCACCCAGCTGCCTCTTCCTCTCCTGACACGCTGCCAGGAATGGGCTTGTTCCCATGGATGTCATTCAAGAAAACTCTGTGTGTTTCACAGACTCAGCTGGATCAGACCATTACACTGAGCCTGACCCGGCAATTTTGCCACCCAACCACCTCACCCCTGCAAGATGTCCTCCACCCACCCGCCAAACTTACAAATGATCCCAATTTTTGGAGAGAGAGAGAGAGGTGAGAAGGATGGGAGACCAGGCTACATGTTCACTTTGGTTCTTTTAAATGCAAACTTCAAAGGGCAAGAGAAAATCAAGTAACACCTTCAGATCTCAGCAGAAGAGGAGTCTTGTTGCAACATGAAACTCTTTGGTCAGAGAGAAAACCACACAAAGTTACTGCCTCTTGTGTTTATTAGGATATGCCACATGCCAGAGGAGAAAGACTTAAGCAAATAAACGGAATTGTTCCCGTGATCACCATGAAAAGGTAAACCCTGAGCAGAACCGAACGTTGTACAGCACGGGTGAAACTGCCGGTGTCTCGCTTGGAAAAACCCAACAAACCGCGGCGGGTCTGTTGTCTTCTACGAAACGTCTTCAGTGGGGACTCGGCACCATTGGGAAACCCTTGTTTTGGAGCGCGAGCCCTGGCTGATGAGTAGCACTGATTAAAATTGCACCACATCTGGATCCAGCACAAGATCTCGGGAGAAGCCAAGCCCTTCTGCAGGCTTCACGGGACGCCCCTTCTCCGAGCAGCGCACGGACCAGTCCCCTCTGCCCGTCACTGGTAGGATGCCTCTCACTTGGACCATGCTGCTTTGTAGCCTTATCCCAGCTGTGTTTGGGGCTGTCCAGTGGACGGGCAGGTCCTGCTTCCAAACGGGTCCTCAGCACCCTGACAACCAGCAGCTTTACAGGGTCTCGAGGGGAGCACGGGGGGAGCAAGCTGTTCTCAAACACTGTTGAGAACCTCAGTCATTAGCTGGTGAACATCACGGGATTTTTCTTTTCCATGCAGTTTCTGAAGGATGGCGGTGGTTTAAGATTAAATAGGTGACCACCACATTGGCAACGCAGCAGGGGTGATGGTCATCATGAAATTTGCTTCCTTTCTCCTCTGGGTGCTGGGGATGGGGGAGATAGCTCGCTTTCCTAGACCCTCCGGTTGACGGACACAGAGCTGGTGGTGTTCTTCAGGATGCTGCCAGACCCCACCACCACTGAGTTGGACCCCCCGCCCACAGAGCAGTATCCTGACCCTCCAGAGCCAAATCCTGCCCCGGAGCCAAATCCGCCCCCTCCCAGGCTGTAGCAGAGGCCAGCACCACTTGTGTTAACGCTGCCTCTCCCACTTCCAGCACCGAATCCAATTCCTCCTCCTCCAAGGCACAGTCCGCCGCCATATCCACCTCCCACAGAGCTGCTGTTGCCTCCCACCACAGCTGCAGAGAGGAAGAGAAGGCATGAGGTTACCTCTGATGCCACCATAAAGTTCTGGAGCATCAATCCCAGCCTGCCGCGCTCCCGTGGGAATGCTACTTACAGATGCTCACTGTGGTCTGACACTCTCCAGACATCCTGCAAGGAAAAAAGACAGAGCGTCAGCTCCAGCCAAAGCATCTGCCCTGGTCCAGCTCCATGAAGCCAGGCTTGGTCCATCAGGCCATGGGCGTAAATCGCAGCAGAGGAGGTGTGATGTGCCATGTTCTTCTCATTGATTTAGCAGGATGCAATCAAGCTCTTGCTGCATCTCACCCACCTGCTCTCCTCTCCCTCCAGCAGCTTCCTGTAGGTTGCGATCTCAACGTCCAGAGCCAGCTTGACATTCATGAGCTCCTGGTACTCGCGGAGCTGCCGGGCCAGGTCTGCCTTGGCTTTCTGCAGGGCTGACTCCAGTTCAGTAAGTTTGGCCCTGGCATCCTTGAGGGCCACCTCCCCGCGTTCCTCAGCATCCGCAATGGAGGTCTGCAGAGTCTCACACTGGAGGACAAGACATGGATGTGATGAGTGGAGCAGGGGTGGCCGGTCGGGGATGAAGCCATGATCCCGGATCACTTGGGCTCAGCTGTTCACAAACACAGCAGGTTCCCTCCCACTTAGGATGACTGTAACCAGACTATTTGCTTTTAGGGAAGCTCTGAAGGGCATTACCAAGAGCTCACACCCATTCCTCAGAAAACGCAACTCCTACCTGTTTCTTTACGCTCTCGATCTCGGCCCGTATCCTCTGGATCACACGGTTGAGCTCAGAGATCTCGATCTTTGTGTCTTTAAGGCTGTCTCCGTGTTTGCCTGCGGTAACCTGCAGCTCTTCATACTGGTAGGCAGAAGTGAGAGGAGCACATTATGTCCACCTAACGTGGCTCCTCGTAACAGCTCTCCATACTACCCCGTGCAAACCAAGGTGAGCATGTGTGTGCTGACTCCAGTCGGACTGGATCAGTACCAGCAACATCTCAGGTCTCCGTATGGTCTGAGCTACCACCAGCAGCTCTCCCACCTCCTCAGCCATCGGTGATCACAAGCAAGGTGTGGTGCACCCACCTTGGATCGGTACCAAGACTCAGCCTCCATTCGGCTCCTGTTGGCAATCTCCTCATACTGGGCTTTGACCTCCGCAATGATGCTGTCCAGATCCAGGTTGCGGTTATTGTCCATGCAGAGAACCACAGAGGTGTCAGAAACGGACTTCTGCATCTGAGACAGCTCCTGCAATTCACACCAGATCTGGCTTCAGCCCCACCACAATCTCCTTACAGTGTCACGACCTTTCTCCACCCCAGCATCCCCCTCCAGAGAGCAGCAGGACCACTCACCTCTTCATAAAGACACCTTAAGAAGTTAATCTCATCTGCCAGAGAATCTAATTTTGCCTGAAGTTCCACCTTGGCCATATAGACCCCATCCACGTCCTGCAGCAGAAATGGGAAGTGAAAGCCTTCTGCCTGACACACACTGTCCTGTCCAACATGTAATTGGGAGCCCTTTGGTGCTCCTTTTCCCTATGACACGTACATCTTGGGCTCCTGGTCTATGGCTGATGCTAACAACTCAGTGCGGATGGAAGCAGGACATCCTCTGAACCAAGATGTGTCATTGTGGTCAAAAAAAAAAGTATTTTACCTTTTTCAGGAGCACAAAATCGTTCTCCGCAGATGTCCTTTTGTTTATTTCCTCTTCGTACCTGTCGATTATAACGAGAGAGATTGAATCTGTCTGCTTATTTTGGCTCTGGCTGCTGCTGGCACCCAGATGTTCTTGGCCTCAGACTAATGAACGCCGCAAAAATAGACCTGCCATGGGTGAGATTTATGGACAGGCAGCAGCGCTTCGCATTTCTAGATGAGCCCGGGCTCCTGCCATCTCTGATGTCTCACTGAAGAAACCCTGCAAAGAGGAAACCTCTCTGCCTAAACTGAGTCCTGGTGGCTGTGGCCACTCCAGCTCCTTCTGCAAGACCCAAGGACCTTCAGGTCCTCAACATGGGCCACTTCCAACCACTCATTTGGGCAGGTACTTGCTGCAGAATGCTGAGTGGTGGAGACAATCTCCAGAACAAAGTCAGTCTTCAACCTGCAACCTCAGTAGAACGAGGGATCTGGTTGATCCTGATGAGTCCCAGACTTGCTTTCCCAACATTTTTTTAACTCCTTCGGTGGAAGCATTTCTCCAGGTTTTTCTCTTGCTTTTCTGACTGGACAAATTAATCTAATAAATAATAGCAGGAAAATAATCTTTTTTTTTTTTAACCCCACCTCATCCTTCCAAAGAAAGCTCTAAGCTTCAAATCATGAAGGATATTATGGGAAGGATCCAGGAAGAAATCCATGAGGAAATTATAGTAGGATTTAGCAACTGATCTAATTAGTTCATTAAACCATACCGTCACGGATTCTTAATTGACGAAGACAAACAGTATCCTCCAGGATCCTGCTTTAGTGAGAAGCACAACTCAGACAACAATATATATTGAGAAATGCCTTGAAAAATCGCCACCTATTGTCAAAACTCAATTGGTGAAAATTTCCCCAAAATCTTTTACATATGCTAATCATTGAAACAGATGAAATATTGCCAATTCTTACGATTCTTTTAATTTTCTGACTGGTCAAAGTATGTTTTTATCTCTTATCTTTCACCACCAGACAGTCCAATCAATGACTACACCAAGAACAACATACTTGGTCTTGTAGTCTTCCACTGTATCTTGGAGGCTCTTCAGCTCTGACTCCAGCTGGTGCTTCTCGCTCGAGAGGATGTCCAGCTTCTTCCTCAGCCCACTGATGTAGCTCTCGAAATAGGGGCTGAGGTTCCTGCCGCCCGTCGCTGTGTCACCCTGCTCCTGCAGGAGTTTCCACTTGGTCTCCAGGACTCGGTTCTGCTGCTCTAGGAACCGGACCTAAACGATTGCCGGGGTGGGTAGAAAGAGAGTCAGACTATTCCCAAAAGCATATTTTTTTTCCCACATTTTCCATAATTTTTCCCCATTTAATGAGTTTAACCTTCTTGCCTATTCTCATCTCCAGGGAGCAATAACTCCAGGATCCCACTGGACAGATGGCACCACATCTCCAAGATGACTGGACAAAGGTGGGCCACCTTCCCTCTCCTATTTCACAGTCTCTAAATAGGAGAAGCATGGTGAATTCCATAGCTTTGGCAACTTCTCCTTAAAAATAGGCCAAAACTCCCAAAGTCCTTCAGCCCACGGATGGACAGAGTCCATCAGCAGGGACTCCCCTGAGGATGCTCTGCATGTAGGTACATGGTCCCATGGCTCAGCACCAGCATCATGCTCCTAAGAACCAAGGATCCTAATCCTGGGTTTCTCCATAGCCTTGGGAAAGTCACTTCTCCAGCCACCATCTCTCTGTCTGCAGGGGGTCTTTGGGGTGGTGTGGGCAATGCCTGGCTCTCTGGGTATTATGGGATGGGTATCTCTTACTAACTGCAACCAGCACGAGCCATGGTGAGCTCAGACCTCCACCTCCCAGCCCCGGCTTCAAGCCACTCTCACCTTGTCAATGAAGGAAGCGAATTTGTCGTTGAGCTTCTTCATCTCCTCCCGCTCTTGTGTTCGCACCTTCTGGATCTCAGGGTCAATTTCAAGGTGGAGCGGGGTCAGCAGGCTCTGGTTGATGGTCACTTCCCTGATGCCGCCCGGCGGGCAGGAGGGAAAGCCTTGACCTCCTATCCCGCCATCAAATCCTCCACCAAAGCCACCGAAAACACTGCCGAGGCCTCCACTGAAGCTGCCTCCAACCCCACCACCATAGGCACCACCAAACCCTGCTCCAGCACCGTAGCCGTAGCCAAAGCTTCCTTGGCCACCAGCCCCAAAACCTCTGCAGATACCAGCACCTCCACCGAATCCTCCCAGAGAGGTGCTTTTACTGCCTCCCAAGCTGTAGAGGCTCCTGCTGCTGAAGCCACCGGCGTTACCAGGTCCCCTGCATCCTCCACGGGACACAGAGCTGAACGTGACCTTGGTCTTCCCTCCCAAGCAAGCAGAGCTGGAGCTGAATCCCTTGCTGAGACCACAGGACTGGCGAGACATGGTGACGGGTCCCCAACAGTCAACCCCTGCAGAGAGAAGAGCCGAGCGGTGTGGAGCACAGGAGGAGGTTTGGAGGCAAGAGGAGGTGAGTCCTGTGGGTGCAGCAGCTGAGTGCCCCTTTTTATGTGCTCAGGGAGTTGGCTGGGTGTCAGGGGAGTGGAGATATCTCTTTTTTTTTTAATTCTATTCATTGTTTTAGGGCTTGGAAAGATGCCCTCCTCTCTTTGCCACCACCTTGACCTGCCTCAAAACACTCCCTCGAGAGCTAAGAAAAACAAAGCTATTGTTGCTGTTGGAAGCACGACTCCAAATCAGATTCCCTCAGCTGCAGCTGTCAACTCATCACGGGCCCTTCTGAGCCTCCTGTGGCAGTGACAAAGCACTACAAACTCCATGACATATTACACCCTCGAGGGAGACCCTTGTTTTAGCTAAATCACTCATTTTGAGCCTGATGGCAGGTGCTCGGTTCACTGAATTCCAACAAAAACGTGGTTTCCCAATCACACCCTCAGATGCACTCGGGTTCAACCTCCCGCTCAGAAGAGGTTTGACTTGGGTTGTCCAAAACTCTTTCACAACCAGAAAGCATTAGTCCTTGGCAGGGTTATAAAACGAGGTTTATGTCAATAAAGAAGACTTAGGAACGCTTTTGAGAAGGTTTTGAAGTCATTTTAGATCACTCTGCCTGGTGTATTGAGCCTGCAGGGACATGGAGGGGTTTGCAGAGACGAAAACATCTTGGCCTTTCCGTGTTGCGCACCTTTCGCCGTCCCTCGACGGGGTCGAGATGCCAGTATCAGCCCGGGGAGCTCTGCCCCGCGTCCGTGACGGCAGGTCCCCATCCCTCCTGGACTGGAACCCTTCCAGGCATTGCTGGGATATTTCCCGACCGTCCTCGCAGGGTCTCCAGCCACGAGCCCCCCCCAGCACGTGGCACTTGGCAGAGCCGCTCCTGCACTAACCCATTAGCGAGTTCGCATTGTTTAAAACAATGCGACTTAATTGCTTAACTGCTTTTAATTTATATTTTAATGAGCAGAGGTGTCTGAAGATGCCTTCCAACTGAGGATCTCCATTTATCCCACCATTAAAAAAAAATAAAAACCCGTAAAACTTTCCCCCAAACCACAAGCTGCAGCTGGAGCCGTGACAACAAAAGCCAACTCTGTAATTATCCCTTTCATTGGAGACGCTCGTGGGAGAGGTTTGGGGAACCAGTTTCAGCTCTGAGCTTGCTCACTGCTAGGTTTTTTTTCGGCAAAAATGGAAATCCCCGTCTGG